CCCCCAAGCCCTGGGTTTCTTATCTGTCCCCTGGCCCCTACCCAGAAAGATCAGGGTCGCCTTCAGACTGTGTCCTTGCACCACCTCTCCAGCCTAATACCCTGTCCCTGCAAGAGGCACTGGGGCCTCAGGAAAGCAGCTTCTGCTTGGGTGGGCATCTGTGGGGGGCACGCGGTGGCCGCGGTGCAGCCTCCGGCCCTGGGGTGAGGCAGGCAGAGATCCGCACCTGGGACCCGGGCTCCAGCTGGGCAGCTGAGGAGGGCACATGGTGTGAGGCTCGGCCGCTCTGTCCTGGGTGCAACCAGGCTGCTGGGGTCCTCAGCCCCAGGAACTCTGAGTGCATCGACCATGAGCAGCCACCGCCCGAGCAGACGTGGGACCGGTGCGGGGTGAGGGCCAGGGTCTCTCCTGACTCCCCTTTGCACCGCTCCTGGTGCGTCAGTCAGCAGCGCAGCCAAGGCCTCCAGGACCAATGCAGGCCCATCCAGAGGAGACTCTCCCGTGCGATGCTGGGCCCAGGGGCCAGCCTGGGGACAGAGACGTGGGGTCAGGCGTGGGTCTCAGCCCCATGCCACCCACCACTGTCCCTTCCCCTCCTGGTGACATGGTCCCCAGGAGCCACCCACCCTCCCGTCCCGCCACCCAAACTGAGGGGGTTGTGCCACTCAGCACTGAGGAGCCCTTGGTCCAGCCTTGGGTGGGATTTGTGGCAGGGTGGGGAGGTCCGGCTCTGTGGGTGAGGACCTTGCTCCCCGGGGGTGCTGGGACTCATCTCTCCCGTGCCCATCTCAGCTCAGACTGTCCCCCGGTCTTCCCTGTGACTTCCCATACACTCCAGTTTCCCTACCACGGGCCCCTCTGTCTCTAGGTCCCCTGGGAGCCTCTGCTCCCTTCCCCCATCCCACGGTGCTAGGTCTTCCAGAAGGAGGTGGGAGAGTGCAGGCCCAGAGGCAGATTCGGCTCCACCACTTCTTACCTGTGTCATAAGGGCAAAGCGCTCCCCTCCCAGAGCCCCCAGTAGGTGGGGAGGACAGAGCTCCCCCAGAGCGTCGCTAGGTCTGTCCTTCCTTCCCCACGCCAGAACCGGACCACTGGACCACCCCACCCCTCGGGGTCTCTGCCTGGTCCCTTCCTCTCCTTGTGGGTCAGGCCCTTCTCTAGGCTGCTCCCCAGGCAGCTCTAGGGTCAGGGTCAGGGTTAGGGTTAGGGACTCTCTTGACAAGACCAGAGAAGGGGCAGGTCACTTCCTATAACACCAGTTCCTGAGACAAAGAAAGAGATGGGGACTTGAGAGCTGCCTCCCCACCCAGAGAGGTCCCTGTCTCGCCAAGTGTCACCTCCTCTGCAAGCCCCTTCTCCATCTCCCCTCCACCCCAGCCTGAGGGCTGCCCTCCGCTCAAGGAGATCCCCACTTTCCCAAATTCTCTGGGACACGAGGGCTGCTGGAGGCCGTCCAGGGCTGTGGCACCGGGAGGGCACGGGGAGGAGCTGGAGGGAGCGTGGCTGAGATGGTGGGAGGGCCGGGGAGGAATGCATCTTTCCTGCTCTTCCGTGGCCGCAGGTGCGGAGCTTTGGAGGATGCCCCAGGAGAGCAGAGAGGGGAGCAACAGGGCCAGCAGCAGCGGGCAGAGAGCAGTCCCCTGGCCGCAGAGGCCAGGCAGGGGGCCGGTTTGCAAAGGGCAGAGAAACAGACAGACCTGGGCTTTGGCCAAGAACACAGCCACCCTTCCAGGCTGCCCCCCAGTGTGTGGAGGACAAGGGTAGCAGCATCTTTTCTCCTCTAGGGCCTTCCCTGGGCCTCCCCTGGGCCTCCCCGAGCCCATTTCCCTCCACTCCCCCGTGTTCAGGTGACACCACTGGGGCCGTGGCCGGGAGGTGATGGGCTGACCCTCCAAGATGCCGAGGCCGCCGCCTCTCACCCCCATCTTGGAAATATGACAAGGGACTCCGGAGGGCCTGCGCCCGCCCTGCCTTGCCTGCTCGCGGCTCGGCAGCTTTCCGGGCTGGCTTCCTCGGGCCCCTTCCACGTCTCCCCCAAACCACCGAGGGGCCTGGACATCTACATGTCATGGCAACCGCCTCCCTCCAGCCCGAAGTCCAACCTCTGGCCTCCTACCTCTTTGGTCAGGGCCAGTCATTCACGTTCCTGCTGCAGAATTTCTTCCTTCTGCTCCCCACTTCGCCCAAGGTGAGGCAACAGGTCGGCCGCACTCAAGTAATTTTCTCGAGTTCGATGGAAAGGGCCCGTTTCGCGAGTTTCTGTGCAGCTCGTCACCGGCCGCGACGTGGGTGACCAGAGCCGGGGCTTGGGGCTCGGTGGCCGTGACCTCCGCCGAGGTCTAGGGTCCGGGGGCCCGGGCCGCCCCTTCTCCTTCCCCCGCCGCGTCCCGGCGGCCCTGGGCCCCGCGGAGCTTCATGCCGGCGCCCCTGCCGTCGCGGCCGCGCGGCGGTTGCGGGCGCTCACTCGATCCGCACCTGCAGGCGGACGTTGAGCATCACCGAGGCCACGATGTAGAAGTAGGGGAAGTTCACGCGCAGCCGCCAGGCCAGGTCGAAGAAGGTGATCAGCGTGCG